TTATGTATTTTTGCCTTCTCGCGAAGTGAGAACTGAATTAATTGAATGAGAAATACTCAATCGTCTGTGAAAAAACTGTTTTCTTTTTTGTTTGTTTTGCTTAATTTCTTTATACATCGTTCTAGCTTTGTTATAGTATTTGAATAGAACATGTGGCAACGATTAGATAATTCTATTCTTTAAATGATGTAAATTTTGTGCATTATGTGTTATAATATGAACGAATATATCGTTAACTGTTATATAATTATTGGATTATATAACAGTTAACTTAGTTTCCGTTATATAATTATTATATAAGTCAACTGTTATATAATTATTAATACTGTTAAGTGAATCTAGCGCTAGAGTGTCGCTATGGTAAACAAATACTAGAGTGAATTTTAAAGAGTGCATTTATTCTATTGTGGTTTATGCGCTGTAGGCGAAGTAGATTTAATTCAATCCAATAAGTTTAAATGAAATGCAAGAAAAAATGCGTATAATTTAATATTCCAATACAAGGAAGTCATGTGGTGTGTACACATCAGATTTTTTATTCTTTGTGAATAGTAATAAATTATATTGTTTTGCTAAGGTGTTTGTTAAATTAAAAGCCAAATGATTGGATTTATGAGTGGATGTGACAGAATCATTTCGTTAGCCGTCCACCGCGAAGAAGAAGATTCTACTGACAGTCTCGCGCGCGCTGGAGATAAAAATGTTTTATTCCCTGCAGTGTTGCCACTGCTCGCTGTGAAACTGTCGAGTGTTTTAATCAAAAATTCGTTAAAATTTTACAAAATACGTAATAGACAATAAAACAAATTCCAAATTTGGCTTCTTTCTAATTAATTTTTTAACTCTATATGCCATATAAATATATATATATATTTATTGAAAATAAGGGAATTTTATTTTTAGCCCAGAAGGCATTTTGCGTTGATTCACTATACGCGTTGTTTCACTTTTCAAATTGTTGTCACCAAATACTATCGCCCTGTATTATATTTGAAGAAATTAAATAATGAAGAATCTGCATAAATGTCGTATGCTTCTCACATTGTGATAAAACAACGGTTCCTAGAGCCATCCAATTTTGAATAACGTACGTGTCCACCTGAATATGGTCATCTGGAAGCGCAATTTAGAATATAGAATTTGATTTATTATCTATTTCATATTTTGTAAAGCTTTTAATTAAGAAACTCAACGATTCCAAAGCGAGCAATTTATCTCCAGGACGCGAGAGTGTAATATATTTAAAGATATGCTCTTTTTAAATTATTTTACGATATTGCTGTTGAATTGAATTTTATGGTTTAAGTGCGAAGAACATGATATTTAATAAATAAAGGTAACATACGAAACGTTAAAAAAACTCTTGTTTGGGCGTAATATAAAGTCTAAAAGCTTTTTTTTTTTTTTTTTTTTTTTTTGTTGTTGTTGTTGTTGTTTATTCTGGTGGGTTTTTTTTAATGAACAAAGATTATAATTTGGAAAATGGATAAAATCATAATCCGTTCACGGTTAATCGGGAACTGTCTATATTAACGGCCACATTATTGATAATAAAAAGGATATTATTATCAATAATATGTATCATACTGCGGCCGTTAATGTAGACAGTTCCCGACTAACCGTGAGTAAATCAAGTTTTTCATGTAGAATGGTGTAAAAATTATTACTACAAACCGTCAGCGTAAAAGAAAACTGTCCACGGAAAATACAAGGAGAATAAAATGTATGGGACATCAGCAGTGATAACAAATAGTGTTATAATATTTGGAAGTTGATTTTATCCACAGCACCACCCAGTTTAATTGAACGTAATATGAAATACATAAACAATAAAAAACAAAATATTCTAATCCATTATTTTCAATCCTGTATTATTTTAAAAGAAATAAAATGAAGGAGAATGTATATGAATGTAGGTATGTTTCTCGCATGATGAAAAAACGACGGTACTTAGAACCATCAAGTTTTGAATAACGTAATCCTCCACCCGAACATGGGTACCTGGAAGCCCGAATTTTGAACTTAAATTTTGTAAAATTTTTATTTTTAAATTTTGTAAAACTTTAACGAATTTTTGATTAACAAACTCAACGATTTCAAAGCAAGCCATGGCAACACTGTACAGGGGGTTGGTGGAAGATATTTCCAACGCGAGATTGTGTATCGGAAATTCTAAAGATATATTGTTTTTAAATATTTTGTGATATTGCTGTTGAATTGAATTTTATGGTTAAGTGCGAAGAATATGATATTTAATAAATAAAGGTAACATACGAAACATTAAAAAAACGCCCCTTCGGGCGTAATATAAAATCTGGAGGCTTTCAGATTTTCTTGATTTTGTTAATATTATTATTATTTAACTTAATGTAAATAATAATAATATTAACAAAATCAACAATAAATATATATATAATGTATTTTGAATGCTGATTGAATTTACGTAACCAAATGAACTTGATCGAAAACATTAAAACTTGCCATTAAACTGCTCGAAAATAGAAGTGAATTCTTAACAAGATCCAAAAGTTCAGACTTTGACTTTGGTGTTTTTGACTTGTGTGTTATGCAGTTTTAGCTTTATGTGCTTGCTAGTTACGGCACCCACAGGCTGCTGTATATTCTTCTTTTAGACATCGCGGCGTTTTCCGACCAGACGGTATAATGGATAGGTAAACCTATTGCGATACCGCAGGGTCCGGGTTCGAATCCTGAAGAAGGCATGGCTGTAATAGTCCGCCTTCTTCACAGTAAAAATGGCCACCGCTTCCGGCTGGCCGGCCTCAGTAATGGGCAAGCCTAAGTCGGCTAAGCATCCTTTATCGTCATAAAGATGGCTTACTCTATTTTTAATTTTAAAATTTATCCTGGTGAAAAAGATTTAAGTGCCATTTTATTCCTTATAATTAATTCAAACCGAGGAATAAGTTATCGAAAGTGCAGAGGAATTTCATAGTTTTAGGAAAGGTATCGTTCAATCATAGATTATATTCAGTTGTACATAAAGTATATTTCGACTGTAGCAGAGATCATAAAGACGTTATTGAAATCACGTGACCCAAAAGGGCTGAAGGTATCATGTGTAAGCATCATTAAACCAACAGAAACATTTCCTTATTTGTATTCATCAAATACAGCGATGACCACTAAGATTCACCGCTTATAGTAAATACGAAGTGCCATCAACAAGGACAGAAGATAACAAAATTAATGAAAAAAAATTCTAAAATCATCTAGCAAATATATATTTTTTAATATCAGGTAATTAACAAGAATAACACGAAGTTTATGCTTGAAAGTAACTTCTGAAAGTAACTGTTATTTCTGCGAGTATTAAATAAATGCTCTCTTTCTAGGATGACCACTTCTGCAGAAGACCAAAATCATTTGGAATTGGAAGTAGCCGTTTCGGGAGGGGAATGGGACTATTCCCATGGCCGTTCCGCCGTCCGGACGTTTCGCCATTAAGACATATTTTTCTTTACGCGACTATATTATATCTTGTCGTATTATATTAAGTTGATTTAAATTAATAACTCTGTTTAGTTTCATAATTTAATTTAATAAACATTTTATATAAAATCATATCTAAAATGTTTTTGTGTACAGTTTTATACAAATACACCGTTACACATGACATATTAATTTTAAGAGAGTAAGTTGCTGACGAGATTCCAAAGTAATTGCGTTTTCCATTCAGATTTCATAAAAATGGGAATTTCCTGCTTGTATGAGTTGCTTCTATGAATTAACCGATTAAAATTTCAAGAAATTTTGATAAATCATGTAAACATTGTACCCGCATAATTTTAAAATCGGTAGTATAACTTCTGTTATATCAGAAGTTTAGCCCCAGTTCTCTTTTGATACTGATATAATTTTCCACCGAACTATGTGCAATTTCTTTATATCTCATACTTGTAAACTAACTATATATATATATATATATATATATATTAAAAGCAACCTTTATTAAGTCTACAAAAGGTTATAAGATTTCTCCTGCTTTTCTAGCGTGCCTTCGTGGTGTAGTGGTTCTGCACATTGGGCCGGTATCCAGAGGTCCGTGGTTCGATTCCCGGTGAAGGCGGTTGCTAATTTTTCATCTCTCCGGCTTTTCCAATTAACCTAATGTCTCTACAGTGGCGCCCGAACTAAAAGGGTGGTGGGTGATGATTTCTCCCCACCCAGGACTTGGCGATTGGGTCCCATAACAATCCCAGTCGCCCTTTAAAAGAGGGAGTATATAAGGTATTTCTCCCGCCTTTCTAGCGTGCCTTCGTGGTGTAGTGGTTCTGCACACTAGGCCGGTATCCAGAGTTCCATGGTTCGATTCCCGGCGAAGGCGGTTGCTAATTTTTCATCTGTCCGGCTTTTCCAATTAACCTAATGTCTCTACAAGGTAAACAGAATTATTAAACTAAATACATTTAATACGAGTATAATACGGCAAGATAAAGTACAGTCATGTAAAGAAAAATATGTCTTGACGGCGAAACGGCAGCGATGAAATAGTGACGGCGAAAAGTCCTAGACCCTAGAGAGGGTATGTTGATTTAAATTAGTAATTTGGAAAATTTCATTACTTCAAAAAAATTAGTAACAAGAAAAAAATCTGTGATTTTAAGATTTCGTCGATTCTCGGATGTGCCACTTTCTTCGCAGCGTCTATATAATACGCTTTAGAATCGAAGAAATTTGGTATTTTCAGGAATTCTTGATTCTTACCTTACTTCTCAAATTCCTAAAAAATCCAAAAATAATTTAACCCGTGTGTGTAGGTCCACGTTTTTCTTATTGTTGTCTATCCAGCAACATTGTCTTTCCTAGCCATTCAGCCGATCATCCGTTGTTTTATCTTGTATCAACTATCCTCAGTGAATTGAAAAAAGTTTTCCGGTGATTATTTTCCGTCGCCACTTGGCGCCGAATACGCGCGCCCAGAGAAAAAAAGTAAAAGAGAGGAGAAAGCTGCTAGCAGCAACCCTTAGTTTTGTTCATAAGCTTGCCACATGCGTTTGTACGGAAGGTGCTGGCACAGTATGGCAGCGGTTGGAAGGCATGTGGTTTCGTGTTGTGCGGCTTTTCGAATGACCCGGTCCGAAATGTTCCTTCAACTTTACCTGTTGTGCACCTTACTGTGTGTGGCTAACGCATTCAACTTGGAACCGAGGTTGCCGGTGTTGAAACTGGGCGAACGGGGAACATATTTTGGATATTCAGTTGCCGAACATCAAATTCTAGACTCACAGAATGCCGTACGGGAACATGTGTGAGTTTTGGTTTTTCCTTATTATGAATAATAAGTGGATTCGTTGCTGCTAATTTAACGTTTTTAGGTTATGCAATCACTGTTTTCTATTACTTTTTTAAAAAATAACTTGTAGGTTAGTGTAGTAAAGATTTTTTATGTATTTATTATTATTTTTACAGTTTAAGGAATTATTTTAGTGAGCGCTTAAGGCATGTGGAATATTTGTGTTATTTTCGTCTTTTTAAGAAATGAAAGTTGAACATTTTTTACGAAGATTGGAAAAAGTATATTATAGGATGATTTTGCATTTTTAAAACCATACGGTACCTTCCTTAAAGAAAAGGAATTTATTATTATTATAGGAGGATATGGGTTCCTTATACATTAATGTGTAAATAAATTTTCTTTGGTATGGACACCAAATTTTTACATATTACATCTTGCCGTATGCCCATTCGCAAAATCCGTGCCGAATGTATTTTAATGCGTAGAATAAGAATGTTATTAACCGGATTTAGTTGTGAAAACAATACCATCGTTTTTGTAAAATCCGTTTCGAATGTATTTAATACGTAGAATAAGAATGTTATTAACCGCATTTAGTTGTGAAATGTTATTAAACGCATTTAGTTGTGAAAACAATACCATCGTTTTTGTAAAGTCCGTGTGGAATGTATTTTAGTACGTGGAATAAGAATGTTATTAACCGGATTTAGTTGTGAACACAATACGATCGTTTGTGTAAGGAAAAAAAAAATAAACTGTTGCTAAACGGTTAAAAGAAAGTAGTTTCATTTCATTTCAGCTACTTATTTTCATTATATTTGCAATTCTTCTTTAAATTAAAATTTATTCATTAAATCCTGTGTTGGGCACTAATTTTTTAAAGTTACGTTCAAAATTTCTCTTACAGTAGTAATTTGTTAATTAAATTTTGTTTCAGACTTTTTAAAATTCTGTTCGAAAACTTACATATAATTTAATAAACTTCATTATGATACTTTGAAATTCTGCTTTACTCCCCCCAGCGAAATTATGTTTGATTTTTCCACTCAAAAATATATTTATTTACTGTAGATTTTTGATCAGTGACTTCTGAAATTACATTTTACTTCAGTGAACTGTGTCATTGAACTCATAGATCCTTTGACATATCTGTTGTTCTTGTTACTATTGTTATTATTATTACTAATTTACTTTTCTTCGTTCAAAAGCGGCGGAACGGAAAAAATTTAGAAAATCTTTTTTTTCTATTGTTTTAAACGACATATTTGCGGCAAACAACTTCCCCCCCCCATTTTTTTTTTTTTTTTTTAAACCTTATTTTTTGAACATGACGGGTATTCGCCAAACGATTTCTAAAACCAGCGTCAGTTTAAACTTGCATTGTAGGAGGCAGTAAATGAATGAAGTGTAGATATGCATTCAACAATAATAAGGTGTTAGTTATGTGTAACTACTTCATAACTCATTTGTTAATGATAATAATTAATATTATTATTCAGTTATTAATAATCCAGTAAAAATAATTTATTAGTTATCTAACGTTGCTAAAAAAAATCTGCGAATTAAATAATAAAAATTAATTATTTGGTTAGAGAAGACTTTGAGCACACATTGAAGAACTATTATATGATTTATTTTGCTATTTAAAAATTTCTTCGATATTAGCATCAATGTATTCGTTTTAAAATAGAAATTGTGAATGTGGCCTACTTTTACAAAACGGTTTGTATTTAATGCATTCTACAGTAGTTTATTTAAGAGAATAACAACTATTTAGTTTTGGGTGTTGTACGGGTAATTCAATTTTTGTTACCGGTGCGAGTGTGGAGCTACTATCCTCTGTCGTACTACCTACAAAAAATTTTAAAGTTTTAGGTGCTGAATAAAATTTATATTTTCCCCTTTTTAGTAAGCCGTATAGTAAACAAATGAGAAATTATTTTGAATGAAAATGTAATAAGAAAGCTCTTAAAATTTCCTTTGACCGTTATTTCTTTTTAGCAAAAAATTCATTAGAAAATTTTGATGTATCCGAAAAAAAGAAGTGTAGCAAGTATTAAAAATATGTTCTCGATATTAAAGTCCGATTTGAATTAAAAGTATTTTTTAATATGAGCTACACTTATCCATAATATCTTATAATGTAATTTACACGGGCAAATATTATCTGCACTACAAATGGTTAATTCCCCCTTGGAGTGAATTTCATAGTTTCTGGAGGGAAGAATGCATCAGCGTTTTATTTACTTATTACGTTTAAAAAAAGCCCCATTGGGCGTAAGATCTGAAGGCTTTCAGAATTTTTTTTTTTTTTTTTTTTTTTTTTTTTTTTTTTTTTTTTTTAAAATTTATTTTATATTTTTCCCGCCCAGCACTTGATCGCTGCATCGCGCGCACGAGAGGGAGAAGTATTTCCCTCTCAAGAAAAGTTTGAGGAGCCTTGAAATTAACAAATTCGTGCATATATTAACCGTATGTCCTGTACCGGTATGGTGACATATGTATTATCATCAATCAAAACTCCCTCACCTCACTGTCTGACACGCGGACGTTGTTAAATTCCTCACCGGAATCGAAACGGAAGGAAAGTATCCGGACTAACTGGAACCGCATCAAATCTAGATATCAAGGGTGGAAAAAAAAAGAAGCCGAAGATAATTTGGCTTGTCTCTCTCTCTCTCTCTCTTTTTTTTTTTTTTTTTTTTAACTGTACTTCAAAAGAATGTATATTTTCTACAGTGCAATTGAAGGAATTTGATTTTTTAGTTTATTTCTACGAAATGTACAGTTAAAACGAATATATTATTCGTCATTCTGACAAAAATCAAACAATGGAATTATTAGTCCAAATAGGCTATTAGTCTCGAAACGGGGTTTTGCGTCGTCCACTATAAACAGGCTTTATCACTTTTCATATTGATGTCATCAAATATTATGAATTTACTCAATGCTAAATAGAAAAGTGCAGCATCGGATTTTTCAGCACAGTAGGGTATCTTTAGATTTTCATGTTATACAAAAAATATCTGATGTATACACAACATGACTTACTTCCTGGTACGGAATATTAAATTATACGCATTTTTTCTTGCATTTCATTTAAACTTGTTGGATTGAATTAAATCAACCTCGATAGCGCATAAACCACAATAGAATAAATGCACTCTTTAAAATTCACTATATTTGCACTTAACAGCGTCATATTTCGTTCAAATTATAACTCAGAATGCACAAAATTTATATCATTTGAAGAATTAACTAATCGTTGCCACTTGTTCTCTTCAAATACTATAATAAATCTATAACGATGTGTAAAAGAAATTAAGCAAATATACTATAATAAATCTATAACGATGTGTAAACGAAACAAAAAAGAAACAGTTTTTCACAGCCGTTTCAGTATTTCTCATTCAATTAATTCAGTTCTCACTAGAAATACATAAAAACTCAAAATATCTATATTAAAAATTACGAAGTAAATTTTATACACTTATTTCCTCAAAAAAATTCCAGAAAGGATTAAGCATGGCGATTTTTGGTGGTACATGGATACCGATTTTGTGCAATTCTTTGACTCGTTATTTTGGCTTGCGAAGCGGCGATTTTTGGCTCAAAAATCGCAACAAGACAAACAATTGCTCAAACTCGGTATTCATGTACACATCGACTTATTTTCACTTAAAAAAAAAAAATCCCCGAATTGCACAAAAATGGCATTGTACACTCTTTTAAATTTATCCATGTACACGTCGACCTATTTTTCACTTAAATAAAAATCCCAGAATTGCACAAACTTGCATTGCGCACTTCCTTTACTTTGTCCATGTACACATCGATATATTTTCACTTAAAAATTCAAAGGAGAACCAAATTCTACAATATAGGCAAACAAAAAATACACAATCTCAATAAAATACATTTTAAACCAAACAATAAAATAACATAAACAAGGAAAAACATGTTATACACTTAAGCACTACCAAAAGCAAATATTCACTTACCATGATTTTCGAGTTCGCTTCGTACACCCAGAGCCACGTAAAAATCAAAATATCAATCATACTCAAATGACATTTTTCAAACCAGGTACTCTTTCTGGTCGAACGCTTCACATGGTGACCATCTGAACCTTTCTTCCTACAAACCCATGCAAATCAATCTAAACGGTTTTTACGTTCGACTAAACGCATATCCTTCCTACATACAGAACACTTACAATGGCTACTAAGTAAACCTTCATTTACACACCAGTCAATTAAAGCTCTTTTTCCCCTTTCGCTCTAAATCGTACGGAAACTTCAAATTAATCTTACTACATTCGGCCATTCTACCGTCTAAAGAATCAAACCAACACACACCACAAAAACGCTTACTAAACATCCCATGATACAAAATTTCTCAGAATCATGCACCCGATTACGTCACAATAGGTTTTCCATAACATTCAACTACTCAGGCAATAAATGAAACAACTTGGCGATAAATCAAACAACAACTTCGCCATAATACAAGGGGTACCTTAAATTCTACTCTACCCATGAAGGCGATATACATACGTACATACAGACAACACGAAAAATTCTCTTCAGACTTCATTTTAAAGCAGTTTTATAATTTTTTGGAGGAAAATAGTCTTTTATTCTGTCCTTACGTACAAATGTCACGCAAAAACATCGTTAAATTGCATTCGATAGCGGTCAAAATGGATATTTTCGTTGAAATATGCTGCCTGAAACTTTTCGCGATTACAATATTTCCTTTTAAGTCGTACAAGGAAGTAAATAAAAAAAAAAAAAAAAAAAAATCTGAAAAGGTCTCACATTTTTAATTACGTCCAAAGGGACGTTTTATTAACGTTTTGTGTGTTACTTTTATTTATTAAATGTCATGTTCTATGTATTCAAACTATAAAATTCAATTCAAGAGTAATATTGTAGAATCGGTACTTACTGTCTAGGAATATGATGTTTGTAAACTTACTTCTTTTGTCGCTATCTAGGGGTTAATAAACT